TCAGTTTCATTTCAATCAATAAGATTGATCCCACGTTGATCAACACATACCTTTCTCACACTATTTCAATTTATCTTTATTTAGATATTGTCCTTTAGGTTCATCCAATCCTTTGGCTTTGCTCATCAACTGTACGCCATTCAATTCAATCTGTCGCTCGTCTCCTGCAATTTCAGGGCTGAAACCTATCTCTCTCTCTCTCCTCCGGCCACTATCAAGCCCAACTCCCAAGTCAACTGGTACCTTGGAACAAATAGCTGGTTCCAAAAGATCAGATATAATGTCTATTATGCAGTGCCTGGCACTGGCAACACACCGTACGCCCGCTTCAAGTTTTCCTGGAGTGACATTGATGCTCGGTGCAATTCAGGCCTTGTCCAATGTCCAGGCAGCGACGCTGGAGGTGGAAAGCCTGCTCGTAACTTCGCGATTGATGACTGCTGTTGTTCGATTACTGGGCAGCTTCCACAACCAGAGCACAATATCTTTTATAAATAAATAAACAGAACAAGGAGCCCTGTTTTCATTTCCAAGGACTTTCCCCAGGGCCACCCCTTCTCCGTAAACCCTGCTGGTCATTCAACACAACAGCCACGAGGCCCCCCCCTCTCGATCTTCCTCCTCTCCGTCCTCCGGTTCTCTGTGAAGCCAATAATAACAACTTTGTCACATGGGCCACCTGAGTGGGTCGAGGTGACCGCCACGGGCCACCACATGCAAGCATCCTCCTGCTGTGGGCAATCATGGTCGCATGCCCACTGTAGCACCTCAAGGTGGCTGCCAGCAGCTGCCTCGGCACATGTTCGCTCGTCCCACGGACATCCACTTTCCCTCAGCCACCGTAGCGTGTCGAGATGGCCACCCCGGGCTGCGTTGGAGCACGTGCGTTCACTCCACGGAGCGCCCTTGGCGCGCGCCCACTTGAGTACCGTGGGCTGCGTGGAAAAGTCGCGCAGTAGTAGTCGTTGACGTTGGGTGGACTGTTGCCGGTGGAGACCACCGAACGAGGCCTACAGCGGCAACTTCTTCACTTACTGCATCAGTGGCAACTGCAGCACCGCTGACAACAACGTTCACGTCCTCAAGAGGACATGCACCTTCACGCCCGCCGCGCCGCCGCCGGCGTCGGACCTCTTGCCCGCGGGTTCCTACGTGCTCATGTGGAAGCCCACCAACCAGTTCCTCAGTGGGACGAGCAACACTACAGCAGGGCTCTCCACGAGCCGCAATTACTGGGCCTTCGCAGCCGGCACTCTCCAGAGCGTGGGCGGCTCTGCCGGTTGCCTGTACGGTCAGTCTGTTACCACCACCAGCAGGTCGCCGGCTAAGGTGTCCCTGTCGCCCCAGTGCAGCGTCGGCTTCAACGAGAGATCGTCGTGGCAGCTCGCCACGGACTCCCTCGGTCGCAGCTACATCTACAACTCCTACTTCAACAGCTGCCTGGTGCCAGACGGTCACAGCGGGGTCATCATGTATGGAGACTGCGGGGACAACGCCAAGAATTGGGTCATCACCCCGGTGGCCTGAAAACGTGATGGGGTTCCCAGCGGCCCGCCCACGCAAAGGTGTAGCCCTCGGCGAAGGCGCCACCTCTGACCTCTCCAGCATCAACGGATGTTTCATGATCCCCCTCCCCACCTCGATTTAGGAAAAGCGAATACACGCCCGCGCTTTAGTTAGCGACTCCCAAATCCCTTGCTTGCCCAGTTGAGGAACTTTGGGTTGTGTTGGTGGTGGCAAGGGGCAATTTTGGTCACTGCTGCTGTATCACCCCATGGCTCCCCCCAGGCAAGGGCA